ATTATACAACATATTTTCAAAATTGCCTACAATACACATTTTCACCGGGAATGCTCACACTCAGTAAACATGTCAACCTCATTTTTCCAAACCTAGAACCTGAAATTCTCATTGACTTTCCTGCCTAACCATGAACAAAATGTCAAATGCTATTCTAAGTCTCATATCAGGAATACTATGTTGTGAGAAGCCGAACGGAGGGAAGTGACCTTTTGCAAAGATGCAAAACCTAACATAAAAACACCACAACTACAAGGATCCTCTTGATCAGGAATCCCATCTACTGATGTATCAAAGTAGGATGTAGGCTCCTCCACATGATAGTTTTCCTGAAGATTTCGTCGATGAAACTTAGGTCTGAAAAAACCTGCGAAAAGTTCAAGAGCTGGACCGTAGTCAACACGATGGGGAGAGTCTACGAGGCGGAATTTACACTCAGAGCGATCTATACTGACATAAGCTAAGGCCCAATGATTTCCGAAATGGAGAGAGATAATTACCAAATCAAAATCGAAAAGATTTATGTCGTTCACCCATCTCGTCCCTTCGGAGTATGCGATTTCAGTGGACTGAGCCTTTGACAATCTGGGAAAGAAAAAAGAATTTAGAATATGCACAGATGGAATGCTACAAGAATTTTCATCTCTTGTCACTTCTGCACATGTCGAATCCACCTTCTTCATGTAGTCATTGGTGATCTGAACGGCTAGCAGGTACAAATTGACGACTTTATCATTTAACCATTCCCCATCCTTGACGGCGACAATGATGTCTTTCTTTTCCATCTTCCACCTCCTCTTGCAATCGACAATGCCATATTCTTCATTGTCTTCAGTGTTGCCAGTAATCATTTCAAGATACTCCTTTTCTTCTACAGTAAGGCGTACTGTTGCTAAAGGAATCTGGAACGAAGGGTCATGCACTACATACAAACACACATATAAACAACAATAGAGCGACTAAGACTTCACACAAAAAGGGACTTTTCATCAAGTGATAGACTACATAGATATGAGTTCATATTGTTGGTTGTCTATCTGTTTCGTCATCAGTGCTGCTATTCATAACAGATAAACTGCAACATGCGCGATGCAATTTCTTCCCTTCTGTGAGGCTTATTCCAACAACTTTAAACATCCTTAGGGCAGTTGGCTTCACAAATGGAAATGTCATGGGTGTAAGACTTCTTCTCTCATTTTTTAGCAACAACGACAAAGTTGATAAAGCTTGCAAGCCACGACGAATGATATTTTTCTCTCTCTTGCTTTGCAAGTGTACATGTGTCGTTTTCCACAGTTCTTTTCGTCGCCCTGCATGATTGACAAGATAAAACATAATGAGTTTCAAGTTCGACTTTCCGTTGTTGAAACTGACTCATGAATACCAATACAAAATATATGGCAATTGCACTTCATACAAAACACATGATATTGCAGTATTTCTCTTCAGTAAACGTGCAATTCCAAAGCTAGGTAAAGGAACAATACATCTGAGGGATCGACACTATTGCACAAAGGGAGATGAGTGCATGTGATGTACCCACTAATCCGCATATAGTATGAGATATTCCTCCTAAGATAAGAAAGTGCTCACCTCGATGGCTAACTCTCAGTTTTTTTTCAACACGACCTTCTGTCACACCTTCCATATGCAACGACGTAATAGGAGATTCCTCGATAGCTATCACGAGGTTAGCAGACTGTGGTGTTTGAGGTTGTTCAAGCGTTTGTTGAGGTTGTACAAGAACACCTTGCTTCGGTGTACTTAGTACTATATGTCCTTCATCCTCTTCGATGCCTTGTACATGGAGAGTTTCTTCCTCCTTTACGCCCTCAAAAGTGTCCTGAAAAGTGCCGCTTACTTCGGCTGGCATCGTCGACGACGGCATCTGTAATTCCGTGAGTGTGTCAGTAATATTCACTTCCATAGCGACATTGTCGCCCACTAGCATCGTAGTCGCCCAAACTTGGTCAGCTGTACTCACGCCCTTGCAACTCACACCGCCTTTTCGTCCCGAAGTTTTGGCACTCGCACCGACAATCGATCCCCATTGCAGTGTCGGGTTGGACTCAACCACGAGTTTCTCCGCTCGGTCAAGCTAGGAGCGCTCCAATAGTGGACCCCTGTTGTGTTCGACTCAACCGTGTGACCCTTCGACAAGTGAAACAACGTCGATTGGTCACGCAGCCTTGCGACTTGTACCGGCGATTGATTCCGATCCCACTGTCAGGTTCTACTCGACCGTGAGTTTCTTCGCTTGGTCAAGCCGCGAGCGCTCGAATGCTGGACGAGTGTCGTGTTCGACATGAGTGTGTGACCCTTTGACAGGTTAAGCACCGCCGACAGTTGAACTACCCCCCCTTGGTCCCGAAGCCTTGCCAGTTGCACCGACGATCAATCCCGATCCCACTGTCGGGTTCGACTCGACCGTGAGTTTCTTCGCTTGGTCAAGCCGCGAACGCTCCAATGCTAGGCCACTGTCGTGTTCGACTCGACCGTGGGACCCTTCGACAGTTGAACCACCGCCGCTTGGTCCTGAAGCCTTGCCATGCGCACCGCCGCTCGATCCTAATTCCTTGCGCTCTGTTTCTTGAGGCCCCTGAGACCCTTCGACAGTTAAACCACCACCGCTTGGTCCTGTAGCCTTGCCATGCGCACCGCCGCTCGATCGTGATCCCTTGGGCTCTGTTTCTTGAGGCCCCTGAGACATTTCGGGTTTCCGCAGTTCACGAGGACTTATGCCCTTGCCGATTGCACCGACGGTTGTTGCCGGACCCTCGACACTTGCACCGGTGCTCAATCCCGATCCCTTTCCATGCCCACTGCCGCTTGATCCTGATCCCTTGCCTTCTGTTGCTTAACGCCCCTGAAACCTTTCGGTTTTTTGCAGTTCCCCACGACTTGCGTCCTTGCCGTTTGCACCGTCGCTTGGTCCTGGACCCTTGTCACTTGCACCGCTCCCCGATCCGAATCCTTTGCCATGCGCACCTCCGCTCGATCCGGATCCCTTGCCATGAGCACCACCGCCGCTTGTTTTTTTCCTCTCCTCTTCTCTGTGCTCAAGATCTTCTCCGACATGCCAATTATATCCATAAGCCGGGCTGGTTTGTCTGTCATAGAACTCTTCCAGATACTCAAGCCACTGCGAAGTTTTGAATTCTTGGAATTTTTTTTTTCTTCTTACATCTAGTCTTGATTGAGAAACCTCCGGATTAAGTCGCAGGAGTCGCTTGGCAATCTGATTATTGACGTGTTTGAGAAAGTTCGATTGTGACATACGTCTGTGGAGGCAAAACTGTCACTCCCCTTCTTCTTTTATAGCCATAACCCACCTCCCTCTCGCCAGTGCAGATTGGAAGTGTTGGGGGTGCCATATAATGTGATGACCCCATGTGGCATCATCCGTCACTGTATAATCGTCTCGGCATATTATAGGCCCCGGAAGCAGTCCAATGTCCGCAGGGATTATGTCTCCAATCTCGTACTCCAAAGGCTCATCAGATGGAGGTTGTTGTGGAGTTCGAGAGTGTAGCAATTCCATAACAGTACTTGGGTTGTTTGCAAATGGTGCCAGAGTTGCCAACAACTCTAGGGAGAGCATTGCTTGAACCTTCGGATCCAGAATGCCTCCGGATGGCACCGTCATCGTATTGCCCGCCATCTGAGTCAGTGTAACAATATAAGAAGTCGGCGGCTGAGTCATTAACTGATCCGTCGAAACCGCCATGCTCGAAGCTCCTCCAGAACCGGACAATGTGCCTGGAACACCCATTCTCTGCGAAGCCGGGCTACGAGCTCTTTGCCTCTCATCTGCCAAAGCCGCTTGCAAAGTGCCATCAACACTCTCTTCTTCTGAGTCGTCGGCATCAAAGTCCTCACCATCCACAAAATAAGTCGCATAACTTACGATTGTAAACGCCCCAATTTGTTGGTCGAAGTACATTGTCTCCAAGGGGTTGAGAAATGCAACTTCCTTCTCCGATGGTGCTTTATGATAACCCCTCAAAAGCATCTCCACTTTTCTTCTTCTTAAGACATAAGTACGTTCCCCTCTGTGTTGCGGTTTTGTTTCAAAGAGAAACTCCCAAGTATTGACCATGTTTTGGGCAACCTTATAGATGAGATCGCGCTCTTCATCATGTCGAGGAGGCGGCTTAATAAATTTGGCGAAGTAATCTCGAGTTCCGACTATCTTGTTAATGACCTGAGTGAGGAACTCGAACTTCATACCCTCCCCTTCCAGCACAATGCAATGACGATGACTCTTTAACAACTCCCAAAACAATCCCGCATGACCTTTTCCCAGGAAAACGACAGCCTCATCCGCAGGACAAAAGTGTTCCAATGTCTCCACCATCGCATTCAGCTCCCTTTCCATACCATCATAAACATATATACCTACCATTTTTCACTTTGTTGGCAGAAAGTTCTTCTCCACGACATCAGTCAACATCTTCGGCTTTCTCTCTCTCCGCACAAGTGCCGATATGTCAGCCACCTGCTCGGCAGATGATGAACCTGCAGCTTGAATATCTTCAAACACGGGAATAGTGTTGCGATGATAATCCCCGTCGTTGGAGTACATGATGACCACCATTCTGTCTGTGTTCTCCAAAGGCAAGTTTGCAACCTTATATGTCAATTTCCTCGTTGTGAACTCGCAAGAGCATGGAACGAAGCACAACAATGTCCAATACTCGCCGCCAAGTTTTTCCATAAACTTCCAGAGTCCATCAAACACTTGTTCAGTCCACACACCCATCTGGGTTGGGCAACACAAATCCAGGACGGTTGTGTGGCACGTCAGATGTCTGACGGCTCTATACATCTCCTTGCAATCCATCTCGTATGAAACATCGCTCGGTTCCCACTGGAACGGCACGAAGACAGATGTCACGTTCTGTTTCTGGAAATGTATATATTTCGCTTGTCCCGACATACGAATGTTATGCGAACCCCCAATTTCAGATCTACGCAACAACTTGTTGACAAATTGAATGAACTCTTCGGGGTATTTGTTTGCAAGCGATTCTGTTTTCTTGAAGCCCTCTTCTCCTTTCTCATCCTCTCCTCGAAAGTGTAGCCGGAAATGACCGCACCCAGCTCGTCTCTTTGAAATGTTGTCGCTGGTCGATCCACCTCTCGGATGTCAATCCTTGAGCACTATACTTAGCAAACACATCAGAAAGGTTGTCGAAGAATGGTTCCTTTCACTCTGACGGCTTCTTATGAGGGTCAGAAATGAAGACAAAGTAGTGAAACATTCTCAACATTGCTCTTTCCTCCTTCACAATCTCCACGTATGTCTGCATCGAATGTTTCCCGGCAATGTGAGCAAGTTTACTTAGTTTTGGAGCCAGTATGACACTTCCCGCGAGAATGTCTCGCAACAGCTGAAGCTGCTCACGCCTCCCCAACGCAGACATAGCCTTCCATGATCTGACATCCAGATCGTGCACAGCCACAAGGTAACCAGGTCCTCTAGTACCCTGAATCCAGTGCACTGGAACCCTGACTCCTTTTACCAACTCGAATCCGGGTCCAGGTCTCGACACTTTCCCCGATTCACCTTGTTTGGTGGCAGGCTTCACAGCATCTCTCCCCGACAACTGTCCACTCTCCCAAGGAGAATACACTTGTCGCACCTTGTCGAAGACGTCTTGTGTCGCCCTTGCCAATATCATGTAAGGCCCGAGGAAGTCGGACCACTCCTTGGTCCAACTCTTAAGCGAGATTTCAACCAAATGATCAATCCCGATCGAGCGCAGAGCCATCGCCGCAAACTTTCTGTACTCCTTGTTTTTCACGTCTGCACTAGATCCGCCTATAGCTTCAGGACGACTGACTGCCAGCCACAACTTCCGTATGTTCTGAATGACAATAATCTGGTGTGGAGGAGTATTCCATTTGCCCTTCGCGTTTTGGAAAGTGTTCAAGGTGCCGTAATTATCCATGCTCCTATCCGGATAGTAAACAGGTCTTGCAGTCCAGTAATCCAAACGGAGCTCACGGGCGATGTCAGGGCGCTCTTGAAAACATTTCCTGGCCGCCGCAACATTATGTTGACCACTAAGAGGGTACCAATAGTACATATCCCGGCCGTCGCAACATTATGTTGACCACTAAGAGGGTACCAGTAGTACTTGCGCACAGATTGGAGATCGAATTCGCTGGGCTTCACTCTTCTTGCTCTCACATTTGCTCCGGAAGCGTCAGTATGCATCGTATCATGTACGCCAACAAACAAAAGGACAGGCTTCTCATACAATGTACATGCATTCACCCTGGTTGCTCCGGTCATTCTCTCTTTGATAGCCGCATCACCCGATTCAACCATTGCGTCATAAATGTCATCAATATGATGCTGATCGAGAAAGCGTTGATTATATCTGAACTCCTCGTCAGGGATATCCAGAATCCTGTCAAACTTGACCGAAATGAACTGCATTCCGGCCTCTGGTTACCGTTCTCGTCGAACTCAAGGAAGAAGCATTTGCTCAGATGACCAGAAGAATTCCCAGGCCGCAGAATTTGCAAACTGGGCGGTCTGGTGACTGTCTTGCCCACAGCGTCTTCATCCGACTGTGGGTGGTCCGCTGGAAAAATAGAAGTTTTTTCCATCACACCTCCCTTCGCTGCTTTTTTCCTTGGTTGTCGTTTTTTCTTCATGGCCTCCTTAGCCTCCCGCGTTGTCGGACGACCTCATCAACTGGCAGCATTTTCAACTTGTGTTTGTGACCCTCCTCTTGCTTGGTTCCCCCCTCCTGCTTGGTTCTCTTACTGTCCAAAGCACTTCTCCTCTCTTGCCTGATCTTTCTCTTCTTCTCAGCCAGTCGGGCTGTATCGACATGTGCTGGCTCGACCTCCACTTCGTGGTGCATTCCCCCTCGCTCTCGATCCGCTTCCCAATGCCCATGTTCCGACGGGAGCCGATGCTTTCGTTCGCAACCCCGATGCACATCTGCATACCCTCCGTCGCCGCTCATTTCCTCTTCTTGCCCTTCATCCTCATATTGAACCCCTAGACGACCTTCCAATTTGCCTGGCCCACCCCCGTCGCTGATTGTGTGTTCAGTGTCTACTTCCGACTCTTTCCCATGCTCCCCTCTGTCATCGCCACCCTCCTCATATTCTTCGCATTCTTCATCGCGCTCCGAATCTTCCTCGCTGTTCTCCTCGTCGTCATCTCCAAAATAATGCGGCCCAACAGGAATGGCGAACTCATAACGCGGTGGGCCGACCAAGGAAACGGGTTCCTTGGTTGATGTTGGTCTGGACTTCACAGGGGCTGATGGCACGATTTGGCCGCGACACGGACCTTTCTCCCCGATCTGCCCAGATTTCGGAACTCGCATTGCAGCAACCGGAGTCCGAAGGGATTGCGGAGGGCGGGCACCTATAATGATTGGTTTCGACATCATAGCCGCCTCCAAGGACGACGAAAGCACGCTTTTCGGCTCAGATATGTGGTCAGTAGCTTGCACCACCGGCACATGCCCTGCGACCATATTACTGTTGAAGAATGCGAAAACCGATCGAAGGTCCGGCAACGTCAATTTCTTCGTCCCGGGCAGATTGAAAATATCATAAAGCTTCTTGCCGTACCCAGCGTGTTTGACCCAATGAAGAGCAACGCGTTTGACATTTGTCATCCGCTCACCTTTAGCGTTAAGGACCATCATCAACTCCAAAATGGCCAACGGTGAACTTCCTCCACTCCATTTCACCACACCGCCAATGAGAACCATGTTATCTTTGATCACCACGTACAGAACCAGCCCACTCGAGGGTTCCCCGATTCCACCCACCCAGTCCAACATCCAGCACTTGTCCTTGTGGTCGACAACAGGCACCTCGTCTCCCACACCTGCAACGGACGTTTCACTAGACCTTCTACGCCTGGGCACAACGTCTACCGCAAATTTCCCCTGCCGACCAGCAGCCTCCTCTTCTCGACCCGCATCCCCACCACTCATCAACACAGCCGCATCCGGTCCAGAACCGCGAACACGAGTGGAAGGAGTGCCCGTAGAAGGTGCACCCTGCAGCACCGAGGTTCGATGGTCCTTAGACCCCGATGTCTCATCAGTCTTCATGCCAGTGGTCGGTGTGCCCTTCGTTTTTTTCGGAGATTGCTCCATGCTCCCAGAACTTCTACTAGCACGTCGTTTGCTAGGCTTCCCCTCCCGATCCATGTCGAGCAGCTAGTCGGAGCTGAAGAAAACGCACAAGTGAGAAAGCAGTCTGCTTTGCCGATGCGCAAACACCTCAACAATCGAGAACAACAGTAGACAGGAACGCACAACAACAGAAGCAGGCCTAAGTGTCCCTCCACGCACCGTCCGGGGACTACTGTGTCGAGCACGACAAACAGTGCACGACAGACCGCAGTGTTGCTGTCGTGTCGAATTCGACGGTCGGTAATGGGCGTCATGGCACGGCCGTCGAGTTCGACACGACAGTGACACGACGACGAACTGGGGGACTATGCAGGTCGTTCGACACGATAGTGACACTGCGGTTTCCCGTGCGACAGCCGATCAACTCGTCGTCGTGTTCGACTCGACAGGAACACGGTCGCAGCGGGGCAACACAGCACGGCGCCCGGAGCACTCGACGACCGTGTCGTGATGTCCGCTTCCGAATGTCGAGTCAACACGACGACGAGTTGACGGACTGTGGAGGTCGTCCGACCGTCGAGTTCGACACGACAGCGAGTCGACGACACGCTGGCGGACTGTGCGAGTCATATCGACCGTCGTGTTCGACACGACAGTGACACTGTGGTCTATCGTGCGACAGCCGACCAACTCGTCGCCGTGTTCGACTCGACAGGAACACGGTCGCAGCGGGGCAAAAAGCGCTGTGGCCGGAGTACTCGACGACCGTGTCGTGATGTCCGCTTCCGACGGTGCCTTAAGGGACACTTGATCACGAGAACAGAAGACAACAGAACGCAAGTGCAGTCCCCAACGCCCACGACATGAGCACAAAAAACAGGCATTGGTTAATAATTTAAATGACAGGATTGTCGGAGCTTTTGCACTGCATGAAGATTGCCAGAGATATAATGACTGTCGAATGCTTATGCACGCAAAACATGAGAACAACAAGTTTTTTTTCGCAAGGAAACACAACATGAGAATAACAATCAAACACTTTGTAATTTTCGCCCAACGCGAATTCCATCTATATGCAGTCCCGACAAATGGGCAGGCAGCGTTGTGTCGGTGTCGAAAGCCAAACCGAAAACACATAACAGCGATTAGACACTTTTCACTGGTTCGATCCTCGTCCTTGTGTTGTCATTCCCGGGTTTCAGGGAATCAAAAAACAAGATCAGGACAATAACGTCACACTATGTCTTTTTTGTGACTGAACACAACATGAGAACAAGTAGTAGATACCGCGTATTTTTCTCAAGATAACACATTGAGAACACCAATCGGACACTCTGCGCATTCCGCTGAATGCGAAGTCCATGAAAATCAAAAACGGAAAGACAGCGATGCGTCATTGTTAAACGCACAACAAAATTAAAAAAGTTGTCAACATCGGTCTCGACACATCCACGAACTTGTGATAGTGTCAGATGTCGGAAAATGTTGAACGACAATGAGAACCGACGAAGGCTATCCATCGACCACAGAGAGCTCTCCCGCCGTTGCGGCCCATTTAATATGTCGTCGAAGGCTGTCTATCGATTACGGGGAACAATCTCGCCATTGCAACCGTTCAACACGCTAAGTGGCGATCCGAAGGTCAGCTGCTGCGCCGTCTCAACAAACACCGAAATGTATTTCATCCGCACGAACCTGGAGTTCCCAGTGAGAGAAGCGCCTATAGCATCCCGAATAGAAACGACTTTAGTCTCGACCTCGCGCCATGCGCCAACGTCCTCCACCGTGCCACCCACCTCGATATCCAGTCTCCCATCGACCTCTCTTTGAACTAAACACATATCCCTTCCGGACATAGATAACTCGTTCCTGGACACATACACGACAACGTCTGTCAAGTTTCTTGCCCTGTTCGAACAGGGAATACAGAGGACCCTACAGAAGATGAAGTATGCAAGACGCAATCTCACACAACAATACGAAACTGCTCTTGGTGACAGACCGGGAGATCGCAACGAATAATGATCGAGGAACTGCGAATGTCGCGTTTAATCGAGTAACTCCTGCTTCATAACACAGCACTATGTGCGCGGCGAGGTTGTCACGTATTCGCAATCCAAAACACCGACAAGGCGGCTTATTTTCAGCTTCTTACATAATTGAGGCAAACGCACGCGACGCAACACATCGAACGGCACATGAATGCGTTTTCCGAATTCCGACATATTGGCGAACTCATAATCGCCCGCCCACGGGCATCTCTTCGTCATGTTCACCCACTCGTACTCCTCCTAGGAGTCCAAATGTTTGTCAACAAACGGGACGACTTTCATCCAAGGATCGCATTCGAAGTCTTCGGGACAACCGCCGTCAAAGGTTGTGCTGCCCTGACACTGTCGGACGTGCAGCGCGCAAGGTGGGAAAGGGTGTGCCTTTCGTGCACGCCAAAGTGTTGGGGTCATCCAATGAGAGATCTCCATAGCGACAGTGAAGCGACGACGCCCTGCACGACACAAGTGCAACGATCAACAGCAGCATAGGACAATTTCCCCCCTCCCCCCAACGATGCGAACAAACCAGGCCCTACGACAGTACACGACACACAATCTATGTGCGCAATCCACGCCCACAATCCACACACGCAACCCGCACACGATCTTCCTGGACACGACGCACGTGGTCCATTGCACTGCACACAATCGTGTACGACTCGAGGACATTGCACTGCGCACAATCGTGTTCGACTCGACAACAAGGCACGATTGGGGTCGACTCGATGGTAGGGAACAATCGTTTTCGACTCGACGACAGGGCACAATCGTGTTCGACTGGACGATAGGGCACGATCGTATTCGACTCGACGATCGGGTCCGACTTGACGACAGGGCACCGTTTGGACGATCGTGTTCGACTCGACGACAGGGCACGATCGTGTTCGACTCGACGATCGAGTTCGACTCGACGATCGTGTTCGACTCGACAACCTTTGGACTCGACGATCGTGGTCCACTGCACACAATCGTGTACGACTCGACGACAGTGCACTGCGCACACGACAGGGCACTATCGTGTTCGACTCGGCACCATCTGGACCATCGTGTCCGACTCGACAATGACTCGACGATCGTGTTCGACTCGACGATTGTATTGGACTCAACGATGACTCGACGATCGTGTTCGACTCGACGATCCCGTTCGACTCGGCACCGTCTGGACCATCGTGTTCGACTCGACGATGACTCGACGATCCTGTTCGACTCGACGATCGTGTTCGACTCGACGATCATATTGGACTCGACGATCGTATTGGACTCGACGATCGTGTTCGACTGGATGATCGTGTTCGTCTCGACGATCGTGTTGGAGTCGACGATTGTGTTGGGCTCGACGATGACTCGACGATTGTGTTTGACTCGACAATCGTGTTCGACTCAACGATGACTTGACGGTCGTGTTCGACTCGACGATCGTGTTGTACTCGACGATGACTCGACAATCATGTTCGACTCGACGATCGAGTTGGACTCGACGATCGTGTTGGACTCGACAATGACTCGGCGATCGTGTTCGACTCGACGATGGTGTTCGACTCGACGATCGTGTCGGACTCGACGATCGTGTTCGACTCGATGATCGTGTTGGACTCGACGATCGTGTTGGACTCGACGATGACTCGACGATCGTGTTCGACTCGATGATCGGGCACTATCGTGTTCGACTCGACTATCGTGTTCGACTCGACGATCGTGTTGGACTCGACGATGACTCGACGATCGTGTTCGACTCGAAGATCGTGTTGGACTCGACGATCGGGCACTATCGTGTTCGACTCGACGGTCGGGCACGATCGTGTTCGACTCGACGATCGGGCACGATCGTGTCTGACTCAACGATCGAGGGAACCGAAAGTGCCACGTGGCGTTACGTGGTTGCATCTGGGCTACGTGGTTGTATCCTCACCGTCTGATCCTTCAGACTCGGGGTGCTCCGCTGTGGTTCCGCGTCACGATCTTGGGGCGTATGCTCGCTCCGTCATCGTGACCTCCGACTCTCGACACCTCCGTTGTGGTCCGTCGTCGCGTCGCGCAGGTGGTCTGCTATGCACGGACCGAATCCCCGCGCTCCGTCGCCGCACCGAGCTTGTAGTATGTTGAGCACGAGCCTCCGCTGCGCTGCGCTGTAGCTGCGTCGACGGACCTCCGCTGGGCTGCGCTGTTGCTGCGTTGCTCTTCCGCATCCGATGCCGAACTGAAACGAAAATGGGAAGTGGTGGGCCTCCTCCATATATATAGTTTTCTGGGTGGCCCCTCCGCACGCACCTGCTGGCTGTCCGATCCGGGAATACGGACGGTCGGGATGATCGCTTGACTGCAGACGGCGGTCCTGTGTTGCGGCCAGTGGACCGCCTTGGTTTTTCCCCCGGTGAATCTTAGCCGTCGATACGTCGGTCGGCCATCGGCCGCGATCGTTTTTCCCCCTTGGCCAGAGCGGAGGCGCGGGGATGACGTTCCGCTCCAGAGCAGAAACACGTTTCTCGCACATGAGTAGCCACAACATTGTGTCAACGCTCCATTGTTCTCGTTCTGGGAGAATCAGCGCAGCGGTCCGCCAGCGTTGACACGAAAACTGCCCCGCTCTCCAGGTTAGTGCCGCTACCGCCGACGCAGCGCCGCCCCCCCCCCTCCCCCCCCAACCCTGCCGCAGGACAAAGAGAGAAGCCTCCGTGTGGCCCACCCTGTCCAGTGTTGGTTTATTGGTAAAGTCAATAAATTTTCTCCAACACTTCCACCACAGTCGTCGTCATGTCGAACACAATCGTCGTCGTGTGGATGACTCGACGATCGTCGTGTCGAACACGATCGTCATCGTGTCGGACACGATGGTCATCGCGTCGACCACAGTGGTCGTCGTGTCGAACACGATTGTCGTCGTGTCGAACACGATCGTCATCGTGTCGAACACCATCGTCGTCGTGTCGAACATGATGGTCGTCGTGTCCGGCGCGATCGTCGTCGTGTCCGACATGATGGTCGTCGTGTCCGTCACGATCGTCGTCGGGTCGAACACGATGGTTATCAGGTCGAACACGATGGTCGTCGTGTCGAGCACGATGGTCGTCGTGTCCAACACACGATGGTCGTCGTCATGTCTTACATGATCGTCGTTGTGTCCTACACAATCGTCAAATCGTGTCCGACAGTCATACACAATCGTCGTCATGTCCGACACAATCGTTGTCGTGTCCGGCACGATCCTCGTCGGGTCGAACACGATGGTCGTCGTGTCCAACACGTTTGTCGCCGAGTCGAGCGCGCTCGTCATCGGGCCCTGCACGGTCGTCGTCGTGCTGAACGCGATCGTCGAGCACGATCGTCGAACGTGGTCGTCGAACACGATCGTCGTCGTGTCGAACACGACCGTCGTGTTCGACACGATCGTGGTCGTGTCGACCACGGTCGTCGTCGTCGTGTCAAACACGATCGTGGTCGTGTCGAACACCATCATGGTCGTGTCAACGCGATCATGGTCGTGTCGAACACCATCATGGTCGTGTCAAACGCGGTCATGGTTGTGTCGAACACCCTGCTCATTTTCGCCACGACAGCGGCGCTGCGGCTCGTGGGTACCAGGGAAGAAAAAAACTGCTTCGTGTTCGGCACGGCAACGGGCGCTGAGGGCTGACCCCCACCTTCGCTTCGACTTGCGCGCAGCTTAGTGCGAGTTGCACCAGCAGAACATAGTGTCCGGGTGACTGTCTTTTGTCTCTTGTCGCACTGACTGCTTATTGCGAGATTGTGATAATATAAAATGGAGTCCCTATCGTGTTGGGCGCGACATTGGCGTTGCCGCAGTCATTTGCCTGCTCAGTCTGGGGTTCTGGAAACCCGTCGTGTGTCGTCGATCCGACTCTGCACAAATTTTGCTTCGAATCCTCGGAGTCTGGTACCCGGGAATCAAGACCGGGGACCTTCCCGTGTTGGACGAGGCGGTCACATTGCCACAATGGTTTTCCTGCTCACTAGTGGCAGTTTTCCTGCTCGCTCTGCGTGGTGGGAACCACTCGTGTCCTGTTGCTGAAGTTTGGTGAGAGTGATGAAGGTGGTTCGGATTCAAGTGCTTCGGTGTCGTCTAGTGTTGATAGTTCTTAAGATAAAACCGATCATCTGCAAACGTACGCTGACCGGAACACTGACCACTGTTGTCGAAATGATGATGAGAATTGTGATGTGATCTCTGATTTCGATGAAATTTTTCCAAAACGTCTCTCCTCAGAGAAGCGTCCTTATACTTTTCGTGTCAGGATGTCGCGGTCAAAGAAGATCATGCAATCAGTTCATAGAAAACTCACCAAAAAAGCACTGGCAAATGTGCATGGACAAGTTTGTTGTAAGCGAGAGTGTTGCGCTCAAATGACCCTGGACGACATCAAAGTTGTCCGGAGCGCATACTACTTTAAGAACCAGCAGAGCAGGGATGCATGGTGGGTTGAAACGTTGAAGAGGTTCACCTTCATAGAAGATAAAAAGGAGATTGTTCAACATATTGTGGGGAGACGAAAGGTGTGCATTAGTGCTTGGTGTTTCACACTAGGTGTATGTAGGAATACATTTATAAAAAAAAGATGACTTTGTCAAAAGGCTACATTATGCCGGAGCATGGCAGTACTGGACTCTGACGCACATCAATAACATATGCGACGATGTACGGGAAACTACGCTCCTTCGTGCGAGACAACGGAGATTCCATGCCCAATGACATGAAAATCAAAGATGGGGAGTCGAGAGTGGTGTTGAGATTGCCTGCTTGCTATAACAAGGTTGATATTTATAAGTTGTTAAAGTCGCAATTCGACAACATGGGTACTCCTTGTGTTTCTCTCCAAGTTTTCTACAACATGTGGAGAACGCAGTTCTGGCATGTAAAATTCCATGACATTGATCAAAACTTTGCGAAATGCGAGAAATGTGTCGAATACAAAGAATCTATCAATTCCGCAAAGTTCGTACGTGTGCGGAAGTACTTTGTTTCGCTACGCAAGAAACACTTGGACTTGCAGCTCCAACATCGTGCTGCGTATGAGGTGTGGAAGGATAAGTCGAAGAGACCAGGTTCCAACAGTTTATGCATCATCATTGACGACATGGACGAAAGCAAGACCAGCATTCCACACTTTGGCGGAAAGAACAAATCGAACGCATTCGCAAATATTCCGATATTGAAAACGAATTTAACAGTTATTATTGCACACGACCGCTCACTATTGGTCCATGTTCACACATGGTACCCTTGCTATCCACACGATTCTAATGCTATAGTGTCATCCATATTGAAACTTCTCCGTGACATCCAGGTGACAAGTGACTTGCCTCCTAAACTGAGGATACAAGCTGACAACTGTTGGAGAGAAAACAAAAACAGACACGTTTTGACACTTGCTGCAGCTTTGGTAAAATTTGGCTTCTTCAAAGAAGTCGAATTCGGTTTTATGTTAGTGGGACACACACACACRGACGTTGATGTCACTTTCAGTCATTTCTCTCGCAAACTGAAAATGCACGATGCTTATACCATGCTCGACCTCTTCAAGCTCGTTGCCAGTTCTAANGACGTTGATGTCACTTTCAGTCATTTCTCTCGCAAACTGAAAATGCACGATGCTTATACCATGCTCGACCTCTTCAAGCTCGTTGCCAGTTCTAAAAAAGAACGTCCATCGTGCATATTCATGGATGAAATTGCTGATTGACGGCATGGACCAAAGCAAGACCAGCATTCCACACTTTGGCGGAAAGAACAAATCGAACGCATTCGCAAATTTTCTGATGTTGAAAACGAATAAAACAGTTATTATTGCACACGACCGCTCACTATTGGTCCATGTTCACACATGGTACCCTTGCTATCCACACGATTCTAATGCTGTAGTGTCATCCATATTGAAACTTCTCCGTGACATCCGGGTGACAAGCGACTTGCCTCCTAAACTGAGGATACAAGCTGACAACTGTTGGAGAGAAAACAAAAACAGATACGTTTTGACACTTGCTGCAACTTTGGTAAAATTTGGCTTCTTCAAAGAAGTCGAATTCGGTTTTATGTTAGTGGGACACACACACACGGACGTTGATGTCACTTTCAGTCATTTCTCTCGCAAACTGAAAATGCACGATGCTTATACCATGCTCGACCTCTTCACGCTCGTTGCCAGTTCTAAAAAAGAACGTCCATCGTGCATATTCATGGATGAAATTGCTGATTGGCGAGTTGTTGTTAAGCCATTCCTGGTCAAGAGACTGACCGATCATATTCGTCCATATGCATTTAGGTTTTACATGCAGGATGACAATCCTGTGTTCCAGTGGAAAGAGTATTGCACTTCTCCTGAATGGTCTGCTCCGGTCTATTGCTTTAAACGAGATGGAAATAAAGCATATGCTGGACCCGAATGAGCATTCTTGCCATCACCTGTTCCGCCGTCAGGTTCTCTGCCTACTAAAGATAGGAATTCGGATTTCGAATAAGGAATTGAAGGTGTGAAGACGTTTGTTGGGTGGTTGGAGAACAAGCGGTACGAGTGGTTGGAAATGAAAGATGAGGTTAGCTTCTCAAAAGAGAGTGCTCTTTCACACCGGAAAACTTTCATCGAGACAGTCGAGGAGCATCACGGGTCCATATTTGCGAAAACTTCACACAAGGCTGGCTTCTGGCCCTCACAAGACAAAATTAAGAAGGATGATCATGATGATATTGATATTGCCTTCCTCTTGAAGAGCAATGAGAATAAGGAGCCGTTGTTCGTTGGACCGGCCAATGAGCGTCCAAAGACGGAGCTCAACCCAGTTGTGGATGTTGAAAAAGGACAACTCGTTCTCTTGCGTCCTTCCCAAGATGATATCGATAAGGGAGTTCCCGTATGGATGGGTAGAGTCATTTTTGATGTAGACAACAATATGAAGTCGTCAACTTTCAATCATATTCTTATTGAATATTGGGTGCCACAACCTATTGCCAAACGTCTTTCTGTGCAATATTCAAACGCATGGAATAAGACGTGGAAGAAAGACTACACAACATCACTGCAGTGGCAGCATGTAGACTGTGTTGTGTGGAGCTGGACATCGAAGACATGCATTTGAAAAATGAAGTGCGCATTCCAAAATCGGCCAGAGAGAAGGTCTTGGTGTGCCTTTCACTTCCCGATGTGTTCTGAAGAAGAGCTAATCGTATTTCTTTACACGTATTAGTACGTTATTTAGTTGTCACTGAGCTTTCATTTATATATATTTAAACTGTATTTTCATGTGTTGCAGAATGGTTCAACCATTTGTGACGACTGGATCACTGCCAAGTAACATGGTGTGGGGAAGAAATATATGGCATGATATGGGTCCTGTTTTCTTCACATCTGAAGTGATTTTTGACAATGCAGTACTTAGTGTCACGGGTGTGGATGCCCCACCGGAAGACTGGGAATATTATCATCGAGAATCACTGTATATTTGTGGTCGCAGGTGTTGTGGAACGAGAACATACCCGCGAGAAGTACTCGCACCCTCTTCGGAATTGTATTATTCAGCAGTCAAATTCAGCCACAACAATTTCAATGTGATGAACTTGTTTTGTGCGGCGGCAACTGTTCAAGGTCAATGCAAAGTATCTTTCCTTATTCATAATGACTATTCTGCAAGTGTAAGTGTTTCCAATGCAGACAACATCGATGAACGAAGACGGCAAGAACTCCGAAGGAGGATCATGGAGCAACCGTCACTCAAAACACTCATGGATGGGCTTGTGGACACGACCATCAAATAATTGCGAAGTCTCCTTCTGCGCGAATGTGAAGTAATAGAAAGTTATATAGAGTACAAGGACCCCGCGTTTGACGGACAAACTGATACCATCAGACAACTTATACAAGGACAAACTGAAATGTTGTCTTGATCGCATTACTTTATCCCCTGAGTCGATCTAGTTACTAGGCTTGTTTTGCCTACTTTCGGAGTGTCATTTGTGCTTTGCATTTAAACTTTTTTTCTCTTACTCGGTCGATGGCCTTGAGACATCATCTAAGTTCGAATAGCCCAGTCCTGCGTTAATATAGAGTTATTTGGTCATCCGAATTCAGTGGGATTCGAACTAAGGTTTGTGTTTTCACAGTTTATGGGTGATACTGCTTTCAAATTGCTTTTAATATTGAACTTTTGCACGTATTTTCATTTCATTGTGTTGTAACTGTTGTAGTTTCAAGCAGGATATTTGTACGTGTTTTTGGAGTGTCCGCTGCCCTTTGATGTCAAATATTAACAGTTCTTTTTGTTCCAAGGTCACATGCAAGGTCTTTCTATTCTTTCAAGGTTTTTATATTTCAATCAGTTCGAAATCAGATGTTCCTTGAACTTAAAGGCTTACATTGTGCATTGCCAAGTTGAACTTGATGCGACACTCACGACATTTCACTTAGTCTAGCTTTTACACTTTGTCTGAGTCTCACGTTTTGCAATATGTGTCCATGTTGTGTAAGCTTGGTATTATAATTAATATAATAATATGACTTCTTGGATTTTGCGATAGAATGGATGACATTGTATTCATTTTATGAAAGGTTGGGATAATATATAATAGTTGACTTATGAAACTTGTATTGATGGAGATATGCGACTTTCCTTTGAAATAGAATCATGAATAGTT